CCACACCTTTAATTCTTCATTTTCAGCTCCGCCTGCCCAGGGTCTGGGGGAGGAGAGGGACTGACCTGACTGTTAACATGGGGGTATAATGACAAGCTCCTTTGCCCTTTGTTAATGCTGGGCCTTCACGCCACACCCTGGGAGGGCCTAGAACAGGGGTGGGCAATAATTTTTTTGGGGGGGGGCACTCCAAGATTTTGGAAAGTGGTCGAGGGCCGCACTCTTCCATGGTATTAATGGAGGAGATGCGGGGTCTGGGATGGAGGTTGGGTGCAGAAAGGAGCTTGGGGTAAGGGATTGGGGTGTAGGAGGGAGAATGGAGTCTGGGAGGGGGTTGGGGTGAAGGAGGCAGTTGTGACCTAGGACAGCGAACTGGAGTGCAGGGGTTTGGGATGTGCCCTAGGGTAGGAGGGGATTGTAATCGGGACAGGAGAGTGAGGTGCCAGTTCTGGGAGGGGGTTTAGGTGTAAAAGGGGGCCAGAGGGTTTGGGTTTGTTGAATGCAGGGGAGGAGGCAGAGAGTTGGGGCAGGAAAGGGCTGGGGTGCCAGAAGCAGGCTGTGGCCAAACTCGCCCTCTGCCTATGCAAATGTGCACACACACAGCAGCAGCCAAGCTCCTATAGCACTTTGAGCCCCACATTTTGGGGGCTTGGGCAAATCAAATGCCAGCAGAGTCTGAGGGCATCATGCAGGCCGGTCAATCTACAGAGTCCTGGGCAAACTGCGGCCACCCTTCAGGCTCCTGATGGAATTCAGTAGCTCAGCGCCCTCCAGAGAATTGCTCTCAGCTCTTGTTTCCTGTCTTATCGCTGCTGGTGAGGGTGTAGGTTTGGGGCTAGTGCCACACCTTTAATTCTTCATTTTCAGCCGGGACTGCCCAGGGGCTGGGGGAGATGAGGGACTGGCCTGACTATCAACATGGAGGTATAATGAGAACCTCCTTTGCCCTTTGTTAATGCTGGGCCTTCACACCACACCCTGGGATGGCCTAGGCGGTGCTCGGTCCTACCGTGAGTGCAGAGGACTCGATTACCTCTCAACGTCCCTTCCTGTTCTGGGGTTTTATGGTTCTGTGGCATCTACCTCAGAGGAACACGTGGGCTCTGTGATACTTAGAACTCGCAACCCCCTTGGCCACATCCCCTGGCAAGCCCAGAGAATAATTTCAAGCGTCTTCACGCCCCCCCAAGAAAAAAGGGCCAGAGGCGTGCATTTGAAACTGAAAGCTTTATTCAGCTGCTTCCACAGGGCCGGCGGCAGAGCAAGGCCTTTGGGAAACAGCAGCAGGTCACATACAAGCTCGTTCTGGTTTCCTTCCTCCTCCGGGCACTCAGGAGAGGGGAGAGGCCTCAGTTGGTGGGGTGAAAGGCCCCTCGCTGATGCCACTGCATGTCCCGGATGCGCCGGACGGATTGAATCTGGGGGTGCTGGGCACCAAATTCTGAGCTGTCCTTATAGTCCCCCTTTTCAAACAGGTACTGGTAGCCTCTGTAGCCAGGGTACTGGTATCCGACCCAGCTACAAAGGGAAAGCATGGCTGAGTCAGAGACCAGGAGAACCCAGGCATCGGGGAGAGTCCCCAGTGTATCCTCCCACACAGGCAGCCCCGCACTGCTCTGTAATCAAACTCCATCCCTGGCTTGGCTAGGGTAAGGAGCTGTGCCCCCACAGGCCTCACTAGCACTGCTGCTCGCTTAGAGGCATTAAAGTTCTACACAAAGCCTCCGAGTGAAGGGAATTCCTTCCTTGGGGCTGACCCAGCTTGGGAGCTTCCCCCCTGCCTTGTTCTGACCAGGGCACTTGAGTCTGGAGCTCCTCACACACCTCCCTGGCCTCAGAAGGCTCCGTGCAGCCCTGCAAAAGACTGTTCGTTCTCCAGCCCCATCTTGCAACCTGCATCCTCCTGCTCAGCCCCAGGCCCAGAGCAAAGGACAGTGCAGCAGAGCTGCTGGCTGCAGTTGTGTCTGACATCTAACCACGTGAGTCAGGCTGTTGTCATGGCGAGGCCTTAAACTGGAGACAGAATTGGAGGCAAACAGTGCTTTTGTCCCCTCCGTTCCTCGATTCCAAATGTAGGGAAGGGAGACTCCCGTGCCCACCTCCTAACAGGGTCGAGGGGACCTGCCGCCCTAGGGACTTACGTGCCGCTTTGCACCCGCACCGACGACACTTTCTCCTGGTAGCCATGGGCATGGAAGCTGGGCACGTCGTCATCTATGATCTCAATCTTCTTGCCGGTGAAGCTGGGGTTTTCATAGAGCACGATCTTGTGTTCCTGACTGTCCTGAAGGGGAGGAGAGATGCTGGGTCAGTGTCAGCAGTGGGGCCAGGCAGCTTCCAGGGAAATTATGAGGGAGTCAGAATAGACAGCTTCAGCTGCCAAGCAAAACTTGAGTGCACAGAGAGCAGGCCCAGGCCAGCCTCATCACAGGACATGGAAAGCTGGCTGTGAGCAGGGATCATCCTTAGCCTTTCACTGTGAAACCTCTGCAGTGGCAAATTGCCCCGTAAATGTCCATTCTACAGTTGCCTCAGACCTTCCTCTAAAACAGGGGTGGGGAACCCAAGGCCGGGGAGCCAGATGCAGCACCTGGCTTGCCTGGATCGGCCCCCAAGGCGTGGGATCTCCCCCCAGCATTGGGGAGCTCATGCTGGTGTTCCAGCCTCCCCGCTGTCCCCCCGTGGGGCTGGAGCACACAGACACTCCCCACATTCCCCTCATACACCAAAGCCTAATGGGACCCAGGCTAGTAGATTTTGTCTCCTCCTCAGTCAGGGGCCATGTCAGTGAGAATTTGGGGAGGTTTTTTTGTTTTGTTTCTTTGCTTCTCACTTGTGTGTGGCCCCTGACTGATTTTTCTGTGGGTAAGTGGCCCCCAACACAAAAAAGGTTCCCCACCCCTGCTCTAAAACATCTGGCATTGGCCACTGTCAGAGATGTGACCCTGGCCCAAGATAGCCCCTGATCTGCCCTGGTAGGATGTTGTCTATTTTCCCCGGGGACATACAGCTTTCCAGTGGAGATTGGTGCACAGGTATAGTCACAATTATGGAGGCTGCAGGACCTAGTGACTTGCCTGTTTGAAAAGTTCAGAACAGCTGGTTTTCTACAGAACTTTGGCTTCACCTCTTAGTCTGAGAGGGGCCTGGGAGAGGCTTCTGACTAAGCCTGACCAGATTATAATGATCAGTGTCTGACACAAGCACTCTCACCACTTTGATGGGTCTCAGGGAACCGATAGTGTCACTTCTCCGGCTGTTGGTCCAGGAATCCCAGCGGGGATACTCGCCCTTTTCAAACACAAATTGCTCACCTTTGCTGTTTGGCTGTTCATAGCCAACCCAGCTGGAAAAGAACAAAGTGCAAACATTGGAGATGGGAAAAGCACCAGATCCTCCAGGGAAGATCAATGCTGCCATGATTGATCTTCCAGGGTATGTCTACACTACAAAGTTAATTCGAACTAACAGCCGTTAGATCGAATTAACTTTAATAGGGGCTACATATGCAAACCGCTAGTTTGAATTTAAATCGAACTAGCGGAGCGCTTAATTTGAACTAGGTAAACCTCATTCTACGAGGAGTAACGCCTAGTTCGAATTAAATAGTTCAAATTAAGGGCTGTGTAGCCACTTAATTCGAACTAGTGGGAGGCTAGCCCTTCCCAGGTTGGCCTGGTGG